ATCCTGAAGAGTGACTTTGTCCAGTTTGAGTGATGCGTTTCCCTGCCATCTCCTGACTGAACAGACTGGTGCGTTTGACGTAATGCCGATTTTGAAGGTCAAGCTGGTTCTGGATGTGGTAGAAACTGTGAACAACATCCAGTCCACGCTGCCAGGTAATAACAGTGCTTCTCAGATCCCATGAACTGTCCGCAGGAAACGTACAGGGGAGGATCAGTTCCTCGCTGTAAAACCCAGTGACAGTGTCTCTGGGAACAGTAATCTCAAACTCAGCTAAAGAGTGAAGGAAAGAAAATATATCCACACAACTGAGTTTCACAATCACTCATTACTTGATTGAGATGATTTCAGTATTTCACAGCATTTCCTATCCTAAACATGGCTTAACTTGCCTCCAACATTATTTTAATACTCTGCCATAATTTTTTTCATACGGTACTTATAGATCTAGCTGTTTAAGCTGTAATGCTATTTTTGGCAAGGATGAATGATATGGGGGTGAGAATTTTGAACCACACTGAAACTCTAGATCACTTAAGAGATCAGAGTCCAGATGAGGGCTTATTAAAACAGTTTTTTTTTTATCCAATTTATTTTAAAGATGTTGATTAAAGTGGTAAAATAAAAAAAAACTTAAACACCCCTTGTCGATGGTGTTCATAAGCACAGATAAAATAAATCTAATAAATAATAAACCGATAACAGCATCAGAAACACACCATTACACACAAGATCTCACGTATTCGAAACCGATAGCGTAAGAAAAACACATTTGACAGAATTGCACAACTCATTAAACATGAAATGCAGTTGTGTTATTGCGGTATTTAAAACTTACCTATTAGCTATTTAAATATAGCTTGGCATGTAAACCATTCATCTCAAAATCAAAAAGAGATGAACACTTCATCTTCAACAATACACATGTTCAACTTACATTGCAGGACTGAAAACAAAAAGCTTTGGCATAGAAACTACTCCTTAATTGGTTTGTTTGAGTTTTCAGAACCCTGTACTGTCTGCCCGAAGGTAACAACTCAAAAAGAGTGTCCTGGGTGAGATGGGTACCTGAGAATTTTTTTTTTAGCTTTCATGAGGCAGCAGGAACTGTGTAACTGTCCCATAGAAGGGAGGGAACAACCAATTACCTTCTGGGCTGTGGTGATCCTCTGGAGTGCAGCTGGAAAACCACACACACACACACACAGATGCAGTGTCAAAATGCTCTCAACAGAACAATGGTAAAAGGACACAACAGGTTTTTGTAAAACCTGAGCTGGTAATTATACAGAAAACGCGGCCTTCTTGATAGCAGTGGTGTTAACTCTCCAGGTCAGACTGTCCTTTACATGAATACACAGAAACCTGAGACCCTCTCCACACAGTCACCGCTGATGAAAAGAGGCTGGATGTCAGTTTTCTTCCTTCTAAAATCTGTGATCAGCTCCTTGGCGGTGTTCAAGAGAGTTGTTTTTTTGTACACCACAGAGACGACTGCTCCACCTCATCCCAGTAGGTGGACTCGCCCATGAAGACCACTATAGGAAAAAGAAAATCTGGAAACCTAGTTAAAAATAAAGGGGAGAATGGTGTCACGATCACCAGTTGGAGTGCCCATGAGCTCCTCCAGAGGGCACTCCACCACAGACTGTTTCTGGCTCAAACTATGCTTCACATTATCCTTTGCCAGGATGATAACAATGGATTACTCTTTGACCTTATTAGGCAAACACCAGTTTGGGAGGATGAAAGTTTCCTGTATATTTGGACCTACTAGTAAAATATTAGCCATGTAGCAATAACTTCTACCAAAAATGGTGATTGTTCTGGTTAGTGATGTTGGACTGCTATTACTTCGAACATTTATTTTAACACCCCCCACACACCAACCCACACCAAATTTTTATGAAGCAATTTATTTGGGGACCACAAAATGGGGACCCCACAAAAAAACAAAAAAACATTGGTTACACAATCAGTATCTCCGTGATCCTTTCCTATAGGGTTCACTGCATGCATGGCCACAGGTGGTTGGGCAACACTTCTTTGTGGCAGGACACTGGCCATCATCATAACAGCTTTCAGCACACACTGGAATCTTCTTTGGTTTGGGACACCGACCAGGCTTCACTGCATGGACACGGATAGTCAGCTTTAGTCAGTCTATTTAGTGGCATTCAGTCTTAAATATGCAACACTAAACACTCAGCATTGACAGCAAATTTTACCTACAGTGAGTTACATTCCAAGTATTGTTTTATTAATTTTGTAAAGCCATCCAGTTTAAAAACTGTCCAATGGGATGAATAAGAACCTACATTTGACACCAAGAAAAACATTATTAGTATCATCCGATTTTTAATACGGATACCTGTATATGGAGCTGTACAGTGATGTCCACATCCATTGCTGCAGCACTTCTCATTGTCTGGACAGTCAGAGTCACCAGTACATGGCACATGATCCTCCCACAGGTTCTTCAGGTGGACACTCTCCTGGCTTTACTGTTATACAGCAAGCATATCATTGAATGCTGAACATCTCCATTCACATACACTAAAATTGTGCACTAATATTTAGGTTTTTCCACAGCATTTCAGTCTTTGCTTACATCTTATACATTTAATCCAAAGCGTTACTTGCAGTTTCTTTGCAACAGTCAAATTTACTAGTAGGCCTAGTTTCTGAGTGGGAGTTTCAAAAAAAATAAATTAAGCTTTTGGAAGAACCTCTAGCATCCATCATGAACTGAGTTATTTTGCCTTTAATGTAAATAAACATGTGCAAACAATATAATTGCTCTTGTAAATTTATTTAGATGTTAATTACATTGTGCCAGCTGTCTCTTTAATACCCCTGGTTTATATACATGTTACTGCTGATTGGGCTGACATTTTTGACACACCCCCCAAACAAGAGAAAACGTATCTCAAACACCGTTGCACACCGTTTCCAGGAAACATGTTGTTCAACCCGGAAACCGTAGCAAAACGTTGCGCACCGGCTTGAGCTTGAACGTGTCCCTGCCAAACAAATGCGCACGTGGTACAAGTTGGACTCGATGGTCAGAAAGTTTGCAAGTTGTAATTCTGAATAAACTCCTACACCTCTTGCACCTAAACTTTGCAGGAACGTGGATTTCAACTAGAAATTGTAAACATTTGGCATAAATCTGCACAGAATATCAGGAGACACAACAGAGAAGAATCCAAGTGGACACTATGTTTATCACTACTGTTTGATGAATTGCCCTTACTATGGAATAAAAAATACGGAGTGTATATTTACATCTAGTTAAAAGTACGTGAAAAACATCAGCTCCAGTGGCACAGGTGGAAAAGTACTTGATGTTGGCTTTTGACGCGATCGACCCGGGTACGATCAATTGCTCTTGTAAATTTATTTAGATGTTAATTACATTGTGCCAGCTGTCTCTTTAATACCCCTGGTTTATATACATGTTACTGCTGATTGGGCTGACATTTTTGACACACCCCCCAAACAAGAGAAAACGTATCTCAAACACCGTTGCACACTGTTTCCAGGAAACATGTTGTTCAACCCGGAAACCGTAGCAAAACGTTGCGCACCGGCTTGAGCTTGAACGTGTCCCTGCCAAACAAATGCGCACGTGGTACAAGTTGGACTCGATGGTCAGAAAGTTTGCAAGTTGTAATTCTGAATAAACTCCTACACCTCTTGCACCTAAACTTTGCAGGAACGTGGATTTCAACTAGAAATTGTAAACATTTGGCATAAATCTGCACAGAATATCAGGAGACACAACAGAGAAGAATCCAAGTGGACACTATGTTTATCACTACTGTTTGATGAATTGCCCTTACTATGGAATAAAAAATACGGAGTGTATATTTACATCTAGTTAAAAGTACGTGAAAAACATCAGCTCCAGTGGCACAGGTGGAAAAGTACTTGATGTTGGCTTTTGACGCGATCGACCCGGGTACGATCCCGCGTTTTGCCAAACTTTTTTTTTCTCCCTTTTCAAATCTCGTATCACATCGTAAAGGCATTTATTTTCAATAAAAATTAAGGAAATAATCAAAAAGTTGAAAATAAAGTATCGGGTAGGGTTAGGGTAGGTGAAGGGAGGGCTTTATTGTACCAATAAGGTGGCATCCATTTAATAATTAAAATTAAAATTAAAACTTACACTCAATATGTTATTATTGCATACTGTTTTATAATGTACTACAATACTGAAGTGCAGATAATTGCCACTATTTGCAAGAAGCAGTATACTTGATAGTAGAAATCCTGCTATTTTAACATAGTGTAACTAGGTATTTGCACTTAGTGTAAATAGCATATTGCTAAAAATACTGCTATTTTCACTTAGTGTAAATAGAATCCATTGCTATTACGAGATTTGAAAAGGGAGGGAAAAAAAGTTTGTCAAAAGGCGGGATCGAACCCGGGTCGATCGCGTCAAAAAGCCAACAACACACACTTTTCCATCTGCACCACTGGAGCTGATGTTTTACACCCACTTTTAACTAAATCTAAATATAAATTTTTTATTCCAGAGTAAGGGCAATTCATAGAATACATTTAAACTGAACTACTTTAATACCATCTCCGAACTTTCTACCAGGACTCTGCTGTTCTTCGGCTGGTTCTTCCTGTATACGTTGATTGACAGATGTCTCGTCCAGTCAGCGGTGAGTAATCCCAAACCAATGGCGCTGTCTCAAACTATACCTACCTCTTCCGGTTTGTCTGATTTGTCATTGTGTTTTCTGACTTGTTAATTTGTTTTCGGATTTGTCGTTGTGTTTTCCGACTTGTTATAATGTTTTCTGAATTGGTGTTTTGTTTTTTTAGACTTGCATTTGCGTTTGGAATTTGTTATTTTGCTTTCAGAATTGTGATTTGTTTTGCACTTCTCGACCACCGTAACAGACATTATAAAGCCAGGGGAACAAATGTTCTCACATTTTAAGAGTGAACTGTTTTAGTAGAGTCCCGGGTCAGGCTCACTCGTAAGGTTTGTCTATTTATTTGTTTGTTTGCTTATATATTTATTTTTGTGAAATGGCCTTTTGTGCTATGCAAAGTTTGTGCAACAAAGTAAAATCATAGTTAACAATTACTTGTTTACATAGGATATATAGGCCTATATGTATTTTATATTATTTAGGCACTTATAGGCTATAGTTAATTCAACATGCCATGGGAAGTCAATCTAACTTAACATTTCCTTATATTGATATGGTTTATTTCTTACTCCTTAACAGTTCATCATGCTCTTAAGGATTTAATCTATGCAATATTTTGGAATATCTGAAGGCCATGTACCATATTCATAACTGTATAGCATTTGTTATAATAAGACTAGCCTATTAATCATTACCATATCGACTTTTTTAATTAATCAATATAGCATTTGTTATGAAGAAACAATGCCACAGTTGTATTAAAAAATCTATAGGGAAAAATCTATTCCCTTAACAGATCATCTAATATAAATTCTACAACAAGTTAGACTACATTTTACACAATAAATGAGCCTACAATACAACGTGATAGATTCTAGTAGTTAAAAAAGATTGTAATGTTAGTGCTGGTTCAAGACTCATCATCAGGCTTTTTAGTTTGCCTTTTTTAGATATACTGTTCGACTTTCTCCATAGCATTTTAAAGTGGCTGTTTCTCTCAACAGTTCAAATAGATCACATATTTGACCATCAACTTCGCCATAGGAATGGCTCGCGCAAATCTCATCACACTTCTCTCGCGCGCTGGTGAACGCACGCAGAGTATACAGTCAGTGACCCGCGCGCAGTCATAATTCATAAGTCATAACTCCGTTCAGTTCGTACTTTGCATTATCAGCCACTAGAGGCCACGGGAGCTTGAGTTTGAGTGCCGACGTCATATTTGTGCGACACTTACATGAACACATGCACCATGCGTGTAAAAGATAGAGGTATATGAAGTAATACGTATGCTTTTAGTGATAGCTATATTGTTCACGAGAAGTTGAAAACATCGTGGGTTGGCATGGCTGGAAACACGCTGCCGTTTAAATCAAAGTAAGTGTCGTTTTCTTCTATTTGGACTCTTCTCAGTGGGAAAGATTCTTTAAAATGTGCAGAGCTTACAGTGACTAGTTGAGATCCCTAGGTTATTGAACATCTCATTTGTTTGTTTAGTTATGCAGTCTCCAGCAAAATAGAACCGTTCTATAAGGGAGGTAAAGTGCAGGTAAGTTCATAATTTAGTACTTGAAAATCATATTATTAGGCCTGTGTATTACAGCTATTATTTGACTTGTTTTGTTTTGTTTCCCCATCCAGATAAGTCATGATGAGCAGTACATATTTTGCACATGTGGTCCAAGAGTCAACATTTTACAGATCGATACTGGAAAAATTATCCATAGCATTGAGCAGGTCAGTGTCTAACAGTTTTGTTTTATGTGTGTGTTTCTTCACCTATGGGCAAAAATATCTCCCTTAAAACCCAGTCTTCGTTTATTTAGTTTGTCTAAAAACAGCAAACACACCCGTCACAGGAGAAATTTGCCTTTTTAAAATATAAATATTGAAATAATTTATGATTTTCCTCCAGATTTTCTTCCATAAAACGTCGTCTTTTTAGACTAGTGGAAAGAAAACATCCATAATACAAATGTAGGTGTTTATTTTATTACACTTTATCTATTTGCATCAGCAGATTTAAAGGCTTTTAATGAAATAAAAGGCCAATTAAGTGACGTGACATGTGGCCAAGTATGGTGACCCATACTTGGAATTAGTGCTCTGCATTTAACCCATCCAAAGTTCTTAGTTTGTCTAAAAACAGCAAACACATCCGTCACAGGAGAAATTTGCCTTTTTAAAATAAATAAAATATAAATATTGAAATAATTTATGATTTTCCTCCAGATTTTCTTCAATAAAACGTCGTCTTTTTAGACTAGTGGAAAGAAAACATCCATAATACAAATGTAGGTGTTTATTTTATTACACTTTATCTATTTGCATCAGCAGATTTAAAGGCTTTTAATGAAATAAAAGGCCAATTAAGTGACGTGACATGTGGCCAAGTATGGTGACCCATACTTGGAATTAGTGCTCTGCATTTAACCCATCCAAAGTGCACACACACCGTGAACACGCACCTGGAGCAGTTGGGGGTTCGGTGCCTTGCTGTCGTGGTATTGAAGATGGGAGAGAGCGCTGTACATTCACTCCCTCCACCTACAATTCCTGCCGGTACGAGACTCGAACCCGCAACCTTTGGGTTACGAGTCTGACTCTAACCATTAGGCCACGACTTCCCCCTTAAAAGTTCTGCGCCCAACGTGGGGCTCGAACCCATGACCCTGAGATTAAAAGTCTCATGCTCTACCGACTGAGCTAGCCGGGCAAAATATATATAAAAAAATAAGTGTATTTTCATTACTATGTTTCTTATAGTTAGTAGAATGTCTAAAGTGCACAATGTGTAATAATAAAATAAAAAAAAATATTTTTACTTATGGTGGATTTTTGTAATGGCTGACAAAAAGAGATCAAATCCCCAAATCTCCTCCATAAAGACTCTAATATGTCAACAAAATGAAACAAGAACTTTGAACCTAGCTTTATCAAACGTTAAGATTTCTATTCTGGAAATGTATGCAAATAAGTGATTTAATTACAAATGGCCTTACTTTTATATTAACACACATCATTTCAGGAAACTTGTAGTACAAAACCGTTATCTTTATGTATTGGGATTAATCAACAAAATATATATAAAAAATAAGTGTACTTTCATTACTATGTTTCTTATAGTTAGTAGAATGTCTAAAGTGCACAATGTGTAATAATAATAAAAAAAAAAATATTTTTACATATGGTGGATTTTTGTAATGGCTGACAAAAAGAGATCAAATCCCCAAATCTCCTCCATAAAGACTCTAATATGTCAACAAAATGAAACAAGAACTTTGAACCTAGCTTTATCAAACGTTAAGATTTCTATTCTGGAAATGTATGCAAATAAGTGATTTAATTACAAATGGCCTTACTTTTATATTAACACACATCATTTCAGGAAACTTGTAGTACAAAACCGTTATCTTTATGTATTGGGATTAATCAACTGGGGAAGATATGGTGAAATCTGTCGGTTAAACCTTTGGCTTTTACCATAATTATCTTTCGTTTCTTGCTTTAAATGTAGTATATTTTGTCTGGGTCTGAGATAAGGGTAAAACAGTAAAATACATACATTTGGCCTTTAAAAAAAAATAGCAGCGCGATTAAGTGTTAGTATTAAGCTTTATTTTGTGAACTTTATGTAATGAAAATAAAACTACTATTTATTTTTAACAAAAATCAACCCCTGGGATGCAAAAGTGCCCAAAACTGAAGACGCGCTCATATCTGAAACATGACTGCATATGGTTGCCTGTATTTCTCACTTTTGCTTTCTCTAAGCAGGATGATCAAGAGGACATCACCTCATTCTCTCTCAGTCCTGATGATGAGGTGAGATGAGCTTGGTTTGCCTGTCTGCTGGTTCAGCATTAATCCAGACTGAGGTTGTTTCTGCTGTTTCTCTGCAGATTCTGGTGACCGCCAGCAGGGCTCTGCTCCTGAAGCAGTGGGACTGGAAGCAGGAGAAGTGCACTCGGTCGTGGAGGGCCATCCACAATGTGCCTGTGGCCAGCATGACCTTTGACTGCACCTCCACCCTGCTGGCTACAGGTCAAACAAGATCACCAGATCTTTGAAGCATTGAGTAACACTAAACAACAGTTTTGGTGTCAGACATAGCTTAATAGGGCGAAATGTTATGCTTGTATACTGTATATACAGTGGGTACGGAAAGAATTCAGACCCCCTTAAATTTATTTTTCACAGCAATATCCTTGTGAAAAATACACTTTATAATACTTTACAAAGAGTAATTATGGAAATAATATATTTAAAAAATATATACTGTATAAGTGCAACTTAATGTAACGTTTTAGACACTTAATTGAATATTAAATAAGTGTATTTATAAAATGCAAGTAAATGTAATTTGCTGAACTTTAGAGTGCTTTTAAGTAGGACTTTTTTTATACGTACTTCTGTTTTCTTTGAAATATGTTTAAAGCGTACTGCTGAATGTACAGACAAGCATTTATGATAAATTAAAATATGATTTAATGTAATTTCTATTGAAACTTGTAAGTTATGTATTTGAATGTATTTGTAATTACACATTTGTAATGATAAAGTTGCAATTTAGTAAATATATTAACTTCATATGTGACCCTGGAGCACAAAACCAGTCTTAAGTCGCTGGGATACATTTGTAGCAATAGCCAAAAATACATTGTATGGGTCAAAATTATTGATTTTTTTTATGCCAAAAATCATTAGGATATTAAGTAAAGATCATGTTCCATGAAGATATTTTGTACATTTCCTACTGTAAATATCAAAACCTAATTTTTGATCAGTAATATGCATTGCTAAGAACTTAATTTGGACAAATTTAAAGGCGATTTTCTCAATATTTTGCTATATTTTTTGCACCCTCAGATTCCAGATTTTCAAATAGTTGTATCTCGGCCAAATATTGTCCTATCCTAACAAAACCTTGTATCTCGGCCAAATATTGTCCTATCCTAACAAAACCATACATCAACGTAAAGCTTATTTATTCAACATTCAGATGTTTTCAGATCATCTCAATTTCAGAAAATGGACCCTTATGACTGGTTTTGTGGTCCAGGGTCACAAATGTTATATCGAATAACACACTACAGTTAAAATTATCATCAAGTAATTTACATGTGCTTTAGTATGTTGGTCAGCATAAGTGTACTACAAAAGATTATTAAAACATAACGTTTTAAAATGTACTTTAAAGTAAAACGTTCAGTTCAACATTATTACAAAGTGCACTTAAAAATATGTTAAGAAATGTGAAAGTGTCTTGTTAAGTGCACTTAAATGGCTTTTTATTTCATTAATATTATTATCTGTAAGTAAATTTTTTTTAATTACTGTTCAGATTAGTGCACATCAATACAATTAAGCATGCTTCTTTTTCACGATGATTTGTTGTTGTGTTCATAGGTGGTTGTGATGGCACCATCAAGCTGTGGGATGTTGTGAAGCAGTACTGCACACACAATCTGAAAGGATCATCTGGCGTTGTACAGTAAGTACTGAAGAAACCAAAATTGAATCTGCTTTGAGATCGTCTCCCAGTTTGTAAAACTGGCCCAGCTGGTTGATATGCCATCTATAAGAGATGCAACGTCTCTCTCTTCCAGTTTGGTTGAGTTTCATCCAGACATCAGCAGACTGCAGCTCTTCTCTTCTTCTGTGGACTGTGGGATCCGGATCTGGGACCTGAGGACCAGCAAGTGTATCTGTGTTTTGGAGAGCCACTACAGTGCCGTCACATCGCTGGCCTTCTCTCCTGATGGCCAAACTCTAGTTAGGTAAAACGGCAGGAAAAAAGGAATAGTTTCCTTGTAAAAGTCCAATTTTAACACTGTCTTCATTTTCAGTTCTGGCCGAGACAAAATCTGCTCGGTTTGGGACCTGAAGAAGAAGGCTGTTAAGAGGACTGTCCCTGTCTATGAGGTCAGACTGTGACTGTGACCCATGAGCTGCGCATTTATCTTTATAGCACCACAACTATTATCTGTGTTTCGTACCTTAACAAGCAGATGAGTCTGGAAATACAGCATTGTTATTTCACATGTTCTCTTATTTGTCGATGTTCAGGCTGTGGAAGGTGTTGTTGTTCTCCCTGGGAAGAGCGATTACTCTCAGATGGGTGTGAAGGGTGAAGGTTTACACTTTGTCACGGCTGGCAGTAAAGGTAAATGCTGTAGTTCAAATCAGAATCCAGTTTAATATAAAATGCTATAATGTAAACTCATAAAAGCAGGACCAATTAGGGGTGCAACTACCAATTGTTGAGGCAGTAACTGTGTTATTTTTGTATCATTTGTGTGCTATTATAATATATATTAATATTTATTATGTGCTTTTGTCATTTTAATTTTTTATAATTCTATTTAATTTTTCTAATTTTAATATTTTTTTTAACTTTAACTTGTTTATTTAAGCTAGCTACCAAAGCAACATTTCTATTTATTTAGTTAGTTAAAGTTGAAGGTATTCATTGTAATATTTAGGTTTTCATTTAAAAAAATGTATATCTATTTTTTATTTCATGGATTTTCATTGTTTAAGTTTAAGATTCCGTTTTAATTATCTATAATAACACTAGCAAGTATGCAACATTTTTTTGGTCAAACCACCTCAACATACAAAATATTAATACCATATTGGTTTTTGACCAATATTATTTTTTATTTATATTGGATAGTCAATGTTTTATGCACATTTCCCATATTTTTACATTTAGACCTTTTGCCATCATCTAATGCCCACTTAAACCTAATCTTTAAAAACACTAATAATTTAGTAAAACAGTTAAATGTAATCTTAAGCAAATCTCAAAATGATCTGTGCATAGCACTGTGATGCCTGACGATTCACATGTAGCATTTAAAATGATTGATTGATTAGTATTAATTGTAGTTTTTTGGATGTTGTTTTGAAAACAAAAGAAACATTTTTGGATTACTGATTCAGGTTTTGAGGTTAATGACACGGAACACTGAGACATAATTTATATCTTATTAGAAATTTTAAAAAAGCTGTTGTATTTTGTCAAAATAAATAATACAAAAATGCATACAAACCCATAAAAAAAACATTTATTTAAAAAATATTATCATTTAAATATGTAAAATATTTAGGTTATTTGTAGGCTTTTTTTAGTCACTCATAAAAAAATTATTTTGGTGCTGTATTATGCACCGCATATGTTGAATGGCCCTGAGTGTTTTGCTGTTTTCCGCAGGTGTTCTTCGAGTGTGGGACTCCAGCTCAGCGCGCTGTGTGTTCACTCAGACGCTGCCTGATGCTCCGGCTCTCAACACAGAGGAGGGCGATTTAGACCCGCGCAGTCTGATGCATCTTCTGCCCATGCCACAGTCCAACAGACTGGCCACCGTCACCGCAGAGCACAACATCCTCATCTATCAGATGCCTGCTCTCACTGTACAGCAGCAGGTGAGCCTTACAGTCCACCTTCTACACACTAGATATAACCTGAACTTAATACATATCGGAACCTGGAGCTATTGGGCTTGTTTTTCTCTTCTTATGAAGTTTGTCGGCTACAATGATGATATCCTGGATGTGAAGTTCCTGGGGAAGGATGACACACATATAGTTGTGTCCACTAACAGCTCTCAGCTGAAGGTGTTTGAGTTGGCCACTAACAGCTGTCAGATTCTGTATGGACACACAGGTGAGTGAGCCACTAGAGGGTGGCAGCACTGTGGATATGTTACACTTACTACATACTGCAGTATATACTGTGTGCTTGTAATTCAAATCTCTTTTCTTTTTTTTGTGCACCGAAACCTATATCAGTGACTAAGTTTGACTGTAATGAAAACACATTCCTATGCAGAAAACACATTTGAGCAATGATCAAAGATCAGTAGAAAACATGCGTGACTCGAGCTAACCAAAACTAAAATAGAACCAGGGTTATTTTAATTAACTAAAACTAAAACCATGAAAAATGGTTACTTAAAATAAACTAAACATTAGCTTGTTTTATTTCACTAGATGCCAAGGCAACACTTCTCATGTTAATTTAGTTTAACTTGATGTACTGAAATAACTCAAATTAAAGCTGAAATAAAAATTAACAATTACTGTATAGAAATTTTAAAACGAAATTGACAAATAAACAACAAAATTGCTAAAACTTTCAAATTAAAGATAGAAGATATAAAATAACTAAACTAATTTAAAGTATTAATAAAAAGTAGGATCTAAAATAACACTTGATTAAAACAAAAAAGATGAATGTTATAGAGTTTCGTATGTGTGTGTGTGCTGTTAATGCACTTGTTTATGGTGTTTCCCACAGTGTATGTTATCATTACCTTCATATCTGTAAATGAAATTCATGCGACGCTTTCACTGAGCGACAGTGAAAAGATTAGACAAAAATATTAATATTATAATACAAATATTCATTTTCAAAATATTAATTTCAATATTCACATATTTGTTCTTCAATAAGATTTGAAAAGGAGTAGTGTTGTTGTTGTTAACTAAAACAATAAAATATAATTTTCTGCAACTGAAACAAAGCTGAAATGAAATAAAATATAAATATTGGATGAAAAAAATTAGAAGTCTAATCTAAATAAAATCTAAAATAATTTAAGTTACTATAATGCTAACACTAAAACAGAAATACAATTGGTTAAATGAATATTTAGAAAAAATACATAACATTAGAAAATTACTAAAACTAATTAAAATTATATAAATATAATGATAATTGTATTAAAAATGCAGCAAAGCTATTTTTTTTTAAATTAGGCTTTGGTTTGCACATTGTTTTGAGGAAATTATCAGGCAGGAAGTAATATAAATACTATTCTTTATAAGCCTGATAGTTGTTTTTTATTTAATTAATGAAAGAACCATTGTTATTTGCAGCCCTACATCCCAGGCATGTAAAACGCATTTGCATTCTCACTTAGGTCCTGTAGAAACAACTGTCTGTAAAACTTTAAAAAGGGAATGTCAGACTGGATTCCACTTCAGTCATCAGTCTGCATTGTTGTCATTGTCAGCACTCAATCATCTTTAAATCATCTGACAATCTTCTCTGATAATCTGTCTGCAGATACCATCTTATCAATCGATGTCTTCCGCAAAGGTTCCATGTTTGCAAGCTGTGCAAAGGTGCTTCTTTCACGTTTTCATGAAAAGCTGCACCAGTGGCCTAGCACGCCATTCAAAACGGCAGGTTCTGAATGTACAGCTTCGCCCACATTTGGAAAGATGACGTTTATGTAATCTTTTGCACAGGACAAGTCCCTGCGGCTGTGGAAAATGGATCTGAAGAGTGGCCACGTGCACTGCGTGGCTCAGGGCAGCGGACACTCCAATGCCGTGGGCTCTGTCGCCTGCTCCAGGTCTGATCTCCGTTAGAAATAGCAGTTAGATAAGCAATATCAGTTAAGACACTGCAGTGTGTGATCATACTGTAGCTCTGTCCTCAAACTTGGAAAAGTCTTTGTTTCCTGAACGATTGACACACTTTTTACTAAGCTGATAACACGGTCACATTTAGATCAGTAATTGTGACATTCCTGATCATAATAACCTATTCTAATATAGTTCACGAACTTGATTTTGTAAACTTTTACTGGTTTGTAAGGTTTTCTAACACATTTGTCACTTTATATTATGTGAACATAAAAACTGTTCAAATAAGTACACCATTTCCCTCTTCCTGTACCAGTGTTATTTTAGTATTGAGATCCTGTTATAATTTTTTATTATTTTGAATTATTTTTATGTTTTAAATGTAACATTTGTTTTAGTAATTTTTTTTGTATTTTTTATGTCTATACAGTTTTTATTAGGGATGCACCGATGTTTTGGCCACCGATATTTATCGGCCGATTTTTCCACAGATTACAACCATCGGCATATCGGCTATATAAGGAAAAAGGCCGATATAACAAACCGATGGTTTATTAATTAACTGCGTGAAGGCACTGAGCTGTATAATGTCTGTTGCATAATCCTAGCACTGCTGTCTGCACTTTAATACTAATCAAATAACAAAAGACAAAAGATCGCACACTATTCTTGAATAAATAACTTTTGTAACTGTAGTTGTAAGTGTAGCGGACCTCATCTGAATGATGACCAAAATTTTACTGAGGTTTTATTAAGTTTATTACGTCGTTTTTCACTCCAAAAAAATCACCATAAGAGCTAAACATAACACAGCACGAGAAGTGCACATTAAACTCTCTTTCTCCGTTGCATTATCATCAACATACAGCGAATTACACAAAACGCTTATTACAACTAACAGTAAACAAATATATACAAATCTCATGCCTTTTCGGGGGTGCTTAATAAACTGACAAACTTTAAATCCGAAGAACTGCGTGCTTTCGTTACCCATATAGCTCCTGCTCCGTAGACTAGAAATATAAGAGTCCCGCCTTAGTAAAGGAGTTCTCATACATATTTAAACTTACGAAAAATATTAAAATGTATACAAAAACAAATTAGAAGATTAATCATAATAAAGTCTGTTAGAATAAAAAAAGCACTAAAAAGCACTGTTTATTTAATATGTATCTTTGTTATGTTGTTTTTATGTAAGCCTGCTGAATGTTAAATGGATCCAATCCATGTTCATTAGAAATTATTTGATGATGCAGCAATAAAACTGCTAGTATAATTTAATGCAGGTGTTTTTGAACTTTGCTGATTTAAAACATGATCAAAATACTATCTATTTTAATGCCAACATTTCAAATAAGAGAGGAAGTGACAAATATCGAAATCGGCCAGTAAGTGTTTGTTAAAATCGGTATCGGCACCACAAAATCTTATCGGTGCATCCCTAGTTTGTATACATTATTTTTAATTTCAGTTTTAGTTTTTTAGAACATAAAGTTCAACTAAAAAAGAGAAATGTTGCATTGGCGCTTTATTGGCTTAAATAAAGTGTAATAATTTTATTTGGTTTCAGTTAACGTTTCAGTTTGACTTTAAATTTTAAACAGTGATCTGAATTCGATGTTTTTGAACCGATTTATTTACATAAATGTTTACATTTAAATATCACAAATATACAAAATAAAAACGAATAATTCCGCCAATAAAAATAGGAAACATGGTGGTTTACAGTAGCATGTAACTTATATGTGACCCTGGAGCACAAAACCACTCTTAAGTCGATGGGGTATATTTGTAGCAATAGCTAAAAATACATTGTATGGGTCAAAATTATAGATTTTTCTTTTATGCTAAAAATCATTAGGATATTAAGTAAAGATCATGTTCCATGAAGATATTTAGTAAATTTCCTACTGTAAATATATTAAAACTTAATTTTTGATTAGTAATATGCATTGCTAATAACTTCATTTGAACAACTTTAAAGGCGATTTTATCAATATTTTGGATTTTTTTGCACCCTCAGATTCCAGTTTTTCAAAAAGTTGTATCTCGGCCAAATATTGTTCGATCATAACAAACCATGCACCAATAAAAAGCTTATTTATTCAGCTTTTAGATGATGTATAAATCTCAATTTCGAGAAATTGACCCTTATGACTGGTTTTGTGGTCCATGGTCACATATTATTTTGTGAACTGATTGTTTTTTTACTGGTTTTAGTTAAACCTGTTAACTAATAACATAATGACCCTGTTGCTGGACGCAGGTTAAAGAAAGGCTTCCTGGTGTCGGGCAGTCAGGACTGTACTATTAAGCTGTGGGATTTGCCTGACCCTCTTCCTGATGTGGGATGTGAACCGGTCTTGATGACGGCACGACTCACAGAGAGAGCTCATGACAAGGTGGGTCGTTGCCCCGTCACGTACTAAGCGTTCAACGAAACTGTCAGATGAAACGTGGATGAAGACATGTTTATCTGGTTGCAGAAATTGTTTTGACAGCAGAAACCATGCTCTTGAGCACGTTCTTCTGCTTTAGTTTTTCAGTCTTCCATATTTGTATTGTCTTTGATGTTTCTTGTGCGCCCATTGCGTCGAAACGGTGTTTAGGAAAATGTGTAACCATCATAGGCGTAATTTGCGGGTGGGACGGGTGGGACATGTCCCCACCACTTTTTGCCAGGGTCGATATTGTCCCTACCATTTTTGAAAGTAATTGAAAAATATATTGCGGAAATTATGTATTAAAAGGGAAAACAAGATCAACAAATCATTCTTCATAATCTGATAATCATCAGCAGCTGCATCATTTGCAGCTGTCACACTTTTCGTAATGTCATTAGGCTATAGCATTTTATTTTTAAAAATGGAGAGCTTCCTTGTGCTAAGTAAGCCTGCCCTCTACTAAAGATTTTTCTAGTCAACTAGTCGCACGTTATATTAAATTGATTAATATAATAATATATTAACCATACTTCAATATAGGCTATAGGCAGACGTATTAGGCTAGAGCAATTGCCTCAAAGCACTGGCAATGTGATTATGAACGTGTCGGGGGAAAAGAAGACATTTTAATTATTTATTAATAAACTAGTGCTTTCTGAGTCGGTGTCGGGTGCAAAGATGAGGTTGCCGAATGCCGACGCTGATCGCCGTCTCCACATGGACGTGCCTTTAATAGAAATGCACCTTTTCATACGGACTACCAAATTAAAGAATATTACAAAATCGAGTGCGAATTTTCCTTATATTTATTTTATTATTCATATAAACATTATAATAACCTGTTTTGGTTATATTTACTATTAATTGCAGAAGGTGCGCTCAGCAAAAATGACGCGAATATTGATGGTTTTCACGCTTAAGTCAAGTAAAAGACCGCTTCTTAAAACAGAGAAGGTGAACATGTTGGTATTCTTGTGGGGGGAAAAAAAACAAAAAAAACATGCAAGCACCGTCACCGGCAGCAAGTTTAGTTTTACTTTTATTTTTGTTTTGTTTTCATTTTGAAAAGCTTATCTTTGCTGTTTACTTCACATTATGCTATGGAGGCTCTCTCTTTTTTATTTATTTTTTTGATTCCTCAGTGTTTGCTAAACATTCTGTAATTTATTAGTCATTATATAGCCTAATACAGCGTGTAGGCCATGCCTCATCTTATTCGTTTTTGTTAATAACGTTTTGTAAGCTAGTTTGTCATTGAATCTTACTGTTTTATTGTTGTTCTGCATTTTAATTAAAAATAATGAATCCATTTTTTTTTTTTTGTCTTAAAAGGTGAAAGGTTTATAGATGTAAGCTAAACAGACAATTATATTTTATTGTAAAACCTGACAAGATCGTGAAATCGAAAGTGAAAGCATCCGAAGCCCGGCTTATAACATGGCAAAAGAGGAACTCCCATTCACAAAATTCAAATCACAAATAATACTACTGATGATAAAGAACGGGTTGAATGTTAACTACTTTCGTTTCCATATAAGTATAAACTATGATAAAAGTTAATCAGTGTGCATTGATTAATAGCATGTAAAAAAAAAAAAACATGCTCATGCAACCAACTGAGAAAGTTAATAGCAAAAGGGCGATATAACATGGCAAAAGAGGAACTCCCATTCACAAAATTCAAATCACAAATAATACTACTGATGATAAAGAACTGGTTGAATGTTAACTACTTTCGTTTCCATATAAGTATAAACTATGATAAAAGTTAATCAGCGTGCATTGATTAATAGCATGTAAAAAAAAAAAAACATGCTCATGCAACCAACTGAGAAAGTTAATAGCAAAAGTGCGACCAGTGAGAAGAGTCTGGAGCCCTAAGTTGCCCAGCTCCCTCTGTCAATGATCTAGCACCCCCTCAGCACCTGCCTTCAAAATTCTCTGGCACCGCCCCTGGTACATCGATGTATTTTTGAAAAGCAAAAATTAAGTTTGTCCAACTCTAAACCCAGTCCCCAAGTAAATTAGGTTATTTAATAAAAACTAGCAAAACGAGTTGCGCGGTGTCCCCACCACTTTTCAAAGCAAAGTTACGCCACTGGTAACCATAATTCATCTTTTGCTGATAGCAAGACCCAAACTGTTTTGTCCAGTGTTGTGAAAGATGTTAGAATACAGTTAGGCTTTTTAAAAATGTGTGTGTGTGTGTGTGTGTGCGCGCGTGCGTGCGTGTAGGCATTTTGGACTGATTTATTTACATAAATATTTCCCACCATTACACAAAGGTTACACTCATAGACTGTATAAAAACATGGACGTAGTGTGCGTGACGTCACCCGTGGATTTCCAATTTGAGCATTTTGAAGCTCAAAAGTGGGCGGAGGCGGCTGTCGCCATCTTGACAGCGCGTCACTCCCGGATAATGGAAAATGGGCAAAGAGGCGGGAGCAGGTTGCTGAAGCCACGCCCACTTAGCGCGACGGTGGTGACCGCAGCGGCAATCCACCGGTCACTCAAGTGGCCACGCCCTTAATTATGCAGAACTTTAAGACACTTGGTTACACTAAGTACCAACAAGACAAAAATGGGAAACATAGTAATTGACAGCAGCATTTAACATATTATATTATTTTTTAAACTTTTTCTAGTGCATGCTGTTATTTGTTTAAATTTAATCTACAAAGTATTTTGTAGATTGCTGCATGAAAGATTGTATAAAAAAACTGCACATAATTTATTTTTTACTGTATGTATATAAATACTACCATTCAAAAGGTTGGAGTTGATAAGATTTGTTCAATGCTTTTGAAAAAAGTGTCTTGTGCTCAGCAAGGCTGCAATAATTTGATCAAAAATACAAAATAATATTGTGAAAAAGTATTACAATTTAAAATAACTGCTTTCTATTTAATATATTTTAAAATGTAATGTATTCCTTTGATGCAAAGCTGAATTTTCAGCATAATTTCTCCAGTCTTCAGTGTTACATTATCCTTCAGAAATCATTCTGATATGTTGATTTCCCCCCCCAAAAAAGTTTTTTGAAACATTATACGCCTTTACTGTGACTTTTGATCAGTTCAATAGAATAAAAGGTTACACTTTACTTGAAGGGGTGTGCATAAGACTGACATGACACCTTCATAATCATGACATGACACCTACATAATCAAGACATGACACATGTCATGAATATGAAGGTTTTTT